TAGGGTTGTGGGGTTGTAGGGGTTTTGGGGTTTAGGGTTTAGGGTTTAAAGGTTTAGGGTTTAGGGTTTCAAGGTTTAGGGTTTAGGTTTTGGGGGTTTGGGTGGGGGTTAGGGTCGTGGGGTTGTAGGGGTTTAGGGGTTTAGGGTTTAGGGTTTAAAGGTTTAGGGTTTAGGGCCTAGGGTTTCAAGGTTTAGGGTTTAGTGGTTTAGGGTTTAGGGGTTTAGGGTTTTTGGGGGGAGTTAAGGGTTCTGGGATTGTGGGGGCTTAGGAGGTTAGGGGTTTGGGTGTTTAGGGGCTTAGGGCTTTAGATTTGTGGGGGTTTAAGGTTTAGGGGTTTAGGGGTTGGTTCAGGGTTCAGGGTTGAGGGTTTGAGGTTTAGTGCTCAGGGTTTAGGGTTTAGTGTTTAGGGCTTTGTCAGGGACCTCCCCCATACTACCCAACCTTAAATCCTATCAGGGGTCCTAATGTCACTCAGGTGTATTCCTTGATAAATGGGTATTTGAGCTATAGTCTAAACTCCTAGTATCCCCCTTAATAAGCCCCATAGTAATCCCCCATAGAATCCCTGCATAATCCCCTTTAAGGAGTTTAGACTGTAGCTCACTTGGCTCTTGGGGTAACATGGCACGCCACAAAAGAGATTTGAGAAGACTGTCATGATTTTGAGGATATGCGGGGTTCCACCTCAGTGCCGGGGTGCAACTTCAGGGTCAATTTAAGCTTCCCGTCGATTTCCTCAGGATTTTCTAGCGATTCTGTAATAAGGGGTTTAGGTTTTGGGGTGTGGGGTTTAGGATCTGGGATTTGGGGCTTAGGGTTTGGGGTTTAGGGTTCAGTCTGCAAGCCAAACCCTGACCTCTGTGTAGAGTTTAGGGCTTTCTCACGGCTCAGGGCGCGTGCTTGCGAAGGAGTGGTGGGGTCTTGAACCCTGTAAGTATCCCTATAAACGGCCCCTTAATACCGCTGCGACCATATGAGATTACCTCTTATTCACTTCCCCATTGCCCATAAAGCACCAGTAAGTTTGAGGTTCAGAGCAGCGACTACACGGCCAGGAGGTAGTGCCATTTGAACCGTGCTCTCACCCTGCTCAGCTATTCTTGGTACCCTTTCCATTTAGGTTAAGAAGCAGACCTAGCAGAATTAGTAGGAAACCCTTATCCGTGAAAGTCAGAAGGGCCAAGTTGAAGCAATCTAAGATAACATCCCCACATAAAGTACTACCTGAAAGCCTAATTACACCAAAAAGCTTAATTACCCCAAATAGTGGGCTACATTAACCTGGAGTGGTAGGAAAGTAGGGGAATGTAGATGGTACTTAAGGGCTGGTAACCCTAAACCCTGAACCCTACATCTCCCTATA